CAGAACCTCAACCAAATGAGAGACTCCCTCCTGGGCACACAGAAAACTGGGTGACTTGGAAGGTGCTGAACAGACTGCGCTCTGGTACCATGAGATGCAGAGCCAATCTTAAGAAATGGGGCTACAAAGTGGAATCCACGACATGCGAGTGTGGAGAAGAGCAAACCACTGACCACCTGCTGCAATGCAACCTGAGCCTTGCTACATGCACAATGGAAGACCTTCTTGTAGCAAAACCAGAGGCACTCCAAGTGACCAGCTTCTGGTCAAAGGACATTTAATCAACTACCAAGCTTGAAAACTTTGTGTTTTGTTTGTTTGCTTTGCTAAAAAATGCAATCAACTGTTTGGTCTGCCCCTGACACGATAAATAAATAAAATATAGTGCATTTAATCCCAAGGATGCACTGGCCATACCAGTTCAATTTTAACTGCCATATCACTCTCCCCATATTTAAAGCTTCCTGTTATTTTGCAAAATCTGTAATTTAAGGTCAGTACTTCTCTGATCTTTCCTACCATGCTGGTCTGAGTTAATAGGGCTTAGCTTCACCTGAGAAAAGGGAAGGGCCAGGAAGCCTATCTTTTTCTCCCTTTTTCCAGCAGAGCTTGAACTATAAAGGAGTTGCAAATGAATGGAGCTCGGCTCTTTAACATATCAAAGGCCACGAAGCATATTTTAACAATAGAGGATCTGTTTAAGTCTGGATCCTGGTGATAGTTTGGGAAGGCCTGACTCAAATCCCCTGTGAGAAAACAGATAAAGAATCGGTTGCAGTTAATTGGTTTTCACAATCTTTTCCTCTCTCGTTCATGGGGAAAGCCCAATGTTCATTTGCCTGATAATGGCTATTGGGCACTCTTGACTTCAAAATGCAACAACATTTACACAACATAAACAATGAGATGCTGACAAGGTGCCAAGACTGAAAACATTCAAAAGACCCTCATTTCTTGAAGTCATGTTTCAGCAGCAATTTACACTCGGCACCGGAAGGAACGGCAAATGGTTGGTTCCACAAATTCAAACTGAACATCATTAATTCGAAATGGTTGCACATGTAATGGGCTCCCCTCATGTGGTAACCTGGCACATCAGAGAGGAAGATGTAGCATAACCATTCCCATGGTGTTCTTGTTTACTAAAGAAGACAATGGTTTCATCTGCAGGAGTATTTTTTAAAAGGCCACCTATTTCTATATCGCCAACTGCGTACTGGGAATATTGATTTCTGTTAATTTAGCTGTGTATTTTGCTGCTGCAAAGTAAAATGCTGTCTACATTCATAAATCATACAATGCATACATTTCTGTCTTTATGAAGAGCTCATGCTCAAAATATGGGATTACTGAAGGAAAGAAGAAGTGTCTCAGCTCTTGCCTCCGCTGCTCTTCCTTTCTCCATCTCTCTGGGTTGCCTCTGTCACCTCAGTCTCTTGTGGGGAAAACTGCCACTTCTGCACTATTCATTTCCCTCATTTGTGAGGGAGAAACTGGGGCTGGATCTATACTACCATGTAATCCAGATTGTCAAAACAGGATTTCCAGATTATCTGCTATGAACTGGATCATATGAGTCTACACTGTCCTATAGGGGCTGCGATGGCACAATGGGTTAAACCACTAAGCTGCAGAACTTGCTGACCAGAAGGTCGATGGTTTGAATTTGCAGGAAGGGGTGAGTTCCCATTGTTAGCCCCAGCTTCTGCCAACCTAACAGTTCGAAAATATGTGAATGTGAGTTGATCAATAGGTAATTGGCAGGAAGGTAATGGCACTCTATGAAGTCATGCCAGCCACATGACCTTGGAGGTGTCTATAGACAACACCTGCTCTTCAGTTAGAAATGGAGATGAACACCCCCTTCCCAAACTAGACTTAATGTCAATGGGAAACCTTTACCTTTACACTGTTTTATAACCCAGTTCAAAGCAAATAATCTAGATTTTATATGGCAGCGTAGATCCAAGCTTAGCTTCACTACAAAAATCCCAAAACAACATTGCTGTCTTTCTTAAAATTCAGGGAAATGACTGGTAGGGAGTTGGTGGTTTTATCTACTGGAGAAGCGGGGAGGCAATGGAGGCAGCCCAGAGGCAAAGAAAAAGGAAGAGCAGCTGAGTCAAATTTTTCCCTCACAAGTGAACACTGCAGAGCTGGTGGTTTTGCTGCTGGATGAGATGGAGACTACAGAGGCAAAGAGACAAAGAGAAAGGAAGAGAGGCAAAGGCAAGAACCTTACTTTTTCTTCTTTACCTCCTCCTTCTCCCTCTAAAACAACCAATCTACATAATGTTAAAATTTAACGTATCTTGGAGCCAAATATTCCAACCTCCCAGAATAGTGATCTGACACCACTTAAAAATTCATTACTGCTCCCAACTACTCCAACCTGAATCCAACAACCTCCCCAGGTTGTGTTTCCAACTGTTGCACTTCCAGCATTCTGACTGGATCTAACAGTGGGATCTCTTTTGTCACAGGTTAGTTTGGGAACTTTGGTGCATACAGAAAGGAAACATGTAGAGGTAAAACACTTGGAGGAGGAAATTGTGTATTCTGATGGTCATTCTGCTATAGTGCCGCATCTTAAAGGCTTAGGCTCAGAGACTCTGCGGACCACACCAAATCCTTGTGAGGGCGACATGTTGTACAGGTCTACCTTACTTCATGTGGTAGCTCTACTGCAGGCTTAGTGTCAAAACTATTAATGGGCAAAGTATAAAGACATGCTGCTCGAAGCAGTGGACTTGACATCCACTGGGATTTAGATCCAGGAGTCCCTGTATATATGAAAATCTGTGACCGCTCAAGTCCCATGATATGCAACGACATAATAAAATGACCCTATATAATGGTATTTTTTAGTATTTGTTTGATCATTTCAAGCTGTGGATGTGGAGGGCCAATTGTATACCAGTTTAAACACATTGGAATAAAAGCAGGCTAAAAAGCAGTGGTTCCCAACCTTTTCTTTTGACCGGGGACCACTTTGACCAGGGACCACTCTCCAACGTTAGTACGAATCTGTTTTTGGTCAACTTTAGATTGGGTTTGGTTATTTGGGATGCTGATTCAGAAAATTGCATTGGATAGGCCACATCAGCTCTAGTTTCTGATACAGAACATATGTCATCCAGTGGTCACCATCTGCTCGCCCACAGAAAACCATATTTAATAAGCCTCAACATTAAGAAGGTTTTGCGAGACCAGTCACTCTCATTCCAATGGTGTAGTAACAGTGAGACCATGGACCATATTTTAGTTCTTGTGGACCACTGGTGGTCCACGGACCACAGGTTGGGAACCACTGCAACCTGGAAGTCATATATAACTCTTTCCCTTCTCCCCCTTCCTCTCCCCCACCTCTTTTTTAAAATTTTCACTCCCTAACCCCCCCCCCTCCTTTTGTCTTTTCTTTTCCTACTTTTCCCACATACATTGTTCCCACACTTTTAAGCATCTCTCATGCTCCAATCTCTTGGAATCAAATTATTTTCAATAAAATATTTTTTTTAAAAAAAAGGAATCAGTAAATAAGTAGAATAAACAAGCAACACATGCACCAATATTTTAAACAGGCTAAGGTAAAGGTAAAGGTTTTCCCCTGACATTAAGTCTAGTCGTGTCCAACTCTCTTTGTAAGCCAAAGAACTGGCGTTGTCCAGAGACACCTCCAAGGTCATGTGGCTGGCATGACTGCATGTAGTGCCATTACCTCTCTGCCGGAGCGGTACCTATTGAGCTACTTAAATTTACATGTTTTCCAACTGCTAGGTTGGCAAAAGTTGGCACTATCAGCAGGAGCTTACGCCGCTCCCAGAATTTGAACCTGTGACATTTCAATCAACAAGTTCCGCAGTTCAGCGGTTTAACCCACTGCACCACCGGGGCCTCCTTTAAACAGGCTATTTGATTCATAATGCAAGCACATATTATCGTGCAAAATCACCAGATTGAAAACTAGAGAAAGCTCCTGTTCATTTCATGCTGATGTAGAAAAGTGGATTTCAGCAGGGGATGCTTGTCACACAACTAGCTGCCATTCCTGCTTCTGCCCAAGAATTAAAGATTCAGGAACCATCTCCAGTTTTCATCTAGCAAACCTACATGTTGTGTGCTGTACATCGATCCTCTTTGGGGGTGCAACACTCCTTAGCCCCCCGACCCACCCACATGTGAAAGGACACAGTAGCCTTCAATATGAGTGGTTTTAATTATTACTTCAGGTATACATAACAGGAGAGCAACTGCCAAAGTGTGTGTCTCCATCTTAGTTACAGTGCAGTGGGGATGAAGCCTGTCACTCTTCCTGAACAAAGATCCCCATAGTCATATGCCAAGTGATGTCATCGGTTCAAATGTGATGTCATCTCAGTAGCCATGTAAACACAGGTAAATCTGGGAGTTTCCCAGTATGGAGAGAGATGTGCCTCAGTCCTCCTCAAGCCAATAGGAGCAGGCAGAAGAAGACAGGTGAATGTGTTTGCTGATCTTTTCCTTTCTTCTATTCTTTTTCTCCCCACAAATCTTGATTTATACATACATGGATATAGGGTAAAATGGAAAGGAAAGATGGCAAAAGTTTTTAAAGATGACCAATACACAAAGCTCCTGGGACACGAAAGATCCTAACTCTTCTTGTGCTTAATTCAGTGCCACAACTTTTGAATTCAGTTTGCAGGACTGAAATAAGCTGAGGGCAATGAGAGAAAAGATAAACTGGAAACTTTTAGAAAGCTGCCTCAATAGTGGGATTGCAATGAATTAATCAGGACTGTCCTTGTCAAATTCAGACAGCTGGAGAAATATGCAAGTATGAGAGGTTTTTCCTGGTATGGATTTGACTCAGTCCAATGGATTATTCTCTCTTCCTCAGAGACTGCAGTTCTGTGAGACAGGTCCAAACATAGTTCTGATTGAGAATTCCTCTTACAACCCAGTGTCTTGAGGAAATGAATGCAAATTAATAGATCAGCCTTGTTGAATTGAAGGTTGGGATGTAAGCTCAAGTGAATCATAAGTCTTTCTCCACTAAACCTTTCTGGCTCAATGTCTTCCAATCCATCTGCCATTTCATTCCCTCTTGATGCCGATTGCTGCCGCCGCCATCACTGCCATGCCCCGCATGCGCTTCCCCTGGTGGGTCTTGACATGTTTTGCCAGGTGGTCACTCCGCATGAACCTCTTAGGGCACATCTGGCAGCCAAAACGCTTCTCACCTGTGTGTGTCCGGAGATGCCTCTGCAGCTCATCTGAGCGGGTGAAGCTTTTCCCACAGTACAGCCAGGAGCAGATGAAGGGCCGCTCGCCTGCATGCCAACGGAGGTGGGCCTTCAAATGAGACGTTTTGCCATAGACCTTGCCACAACCTGGCAGATGGCAGATATGTTGCTTCTTCCTCCCAGGCTCCTCATTTACCCCATTCACTGCCTGGCAGTTGGGACACTTGCATCGACGGCAGCGGCGGGCTGTGCCCAGCAATGCCTTGGGGGTGCCTTGCAGGAGGGCAGCAAGGGGTGGCTGGGGGCTTAAGACCAATGGCCGGCTCAGAGAAAAACTGCTAGGTTGCTGTAGGCTCCACCATGGGGCATCATCAGTTGATGTGGTCCCTGGAGGAACCGTTGGCCCCAAAGGCCGAGGGCCTTGCAAAAAGCTGGAGAAGTCCTGGGCTTCTGAGAAAGTGTATGAAGGGGCCACTGAAGGGGCCAACATCTTCACAGAGGACAATTCGAAAGAATAGGTAGGCTCAGCTGGTGGTGTCAGAGGCAGTTCATTACCAGAGCTGTTGCCACCACCAGGCACCATCTGGCCATGATATGGCACCTTGGGCAGCCCAAAAGCCATGGTTGTGTGGGAACCTGATGGCATCTCATTGCTCCAGAGCTGGAACATCTCTGCTGACTCATAGGATCCTGGGTGGCTTGCAGAGGAACAGGAAGTTGTGGATGATGCGACAAAAGTGGGATTGCGAGGAAAGGTTCCTTCTGGAGATGAGATGAGGGTCTTGGCCTAGAGTAGAGAGGAAAAAGACAGACTCTTCTCAGCAAAATCTTTAATAATCCTTAATCCTTAACTGCATTAAGTTTTTCAAGTTTGAAATGAGTTGACGTTACCTTGCAACACAAGACTGAAGAGTTTCTCCTCATCCCAAAATCAATATTAACACTGAAAAGTAGACTTTTGAGTGTTGACATCAAGCCCTACCTTTTCTTCTCTGTACCAATCTGCAGTCCAGAAAGTAACTCACTAAACTATTAAGTACTAACATTATATTGCCATCACTGTTACTATTGCACCATTAAAAATATGGGGAAAGTGTCCTCTGGTCCTCATCTCCACTTTGGATTATCATAATTTCAAGTGGAATCCTATTAAAGGCATTATACAGATACATTTGGTGAGTGTGCAAAAGCTTTCAGCTTTCCTCTCCTATCTCCCCAGGAAGGCTTCTTTTCATTTATAGACAGTGGTGAAATGGGTTAAACTCCTGTGCTGGCAGGACTGAAGACCGATAGGTCAGAGATTCAAATCCGGGGAGAGTGCGAATGAGCTCCCTCTGTCAGCTCCAGCTCCCCATGCGGGGATATGAGAGAAGCCTCCCACAAGGATGGTAAAACATCAAACATCTGGGCGTCTCATGGGCAACGTCCTTGCAGATGGCCAATTCTCTCACACCAGAAGCTACTTGCAGTTTCCCAAGTCACTCCTAACACGAAAAAAGAGTAGTGTGTAGTCAAACTTCCAAGAAACTTAATGTCTGGAAAGCGTAAAGTAGATCTCAAGGGTTTAAACCAGGAACCAAATGACCTTGTTGTCCTTCAGATCTTACAGCTTCCGCAATTATTCTGTTTGGGACTTTTGCAAATACTTAAATAAACCATGGAAACCAGAATGTTTATGGCCCTTTAAAAACAAAGAGTGAACAGAAGTTCTGTATAAAACTGGCATATGCTAAAGTATATATAAAGATTAAAATTGAGAAATGATTATTATGAATTATGTAGAAATTCAGTATTTCTCACTGGAATTGAGAAGGCTGAGCTGCCTACCTTCTCAATCTGCCATCCAGGTCCTAACCATAGATGGTCTTCCTAAGATGGTCTTGATCTAACAGCTCTTCACATAAATAATGCCTTCAAGGCAAGGAATGTAATGACCATGTGCAGGCATGTAGCCGGGGGTGGGGTGGGGGGCTTGAGGGGTTTCATCCCCCCCCCCCGAAATTCTCATGTTGGTCTGCGAGAAGGTCTTACTGATACATTATTTAAACTGCTATGTTTATTCATATCATGATCTGATCACCATGCTCAATATATCCCTTATGCATGGGGGTATTGGGGTAACGATACAAAAGGTTTGCTAGGATAGACCCTCTTTCATTCAAACTCAGCCCCCCCCCCCCGAAATCAAAGTCAGCACCTCACGAATCAAAATCCTGGCTACAGGCCTGACCATGTGGGCAACACTCTAATAAACATGCTGGAAGAACCTATGTTACCGTCAACCAACCCAGTACACTATCACTGGGTTGGTTGAAGGTAATCATTCTACAGCATCCAATGTTACATTCAATGTTATCCCTGAACTCTTCAGAGGATTTTCTTGACAATATTTCTTTTTTCTTTCTTTCTTTCTTTTTTTTTTTTTTTTGGGGGGGGGGGGGTCCCCGCCAGTGCCTTCCTTTGAGGCTAAGAGATTTCCCACCTTTCCAAGCTCACTCAGTGGGTTTCCATAACGAAGTAGGGATTTGAACCTTGGTCTCCTGGAGCTCAAGTTGTTTGTTGTTATTGTTGTTGTGAACTGTTATCATTTTGTGAAGTGTTTGGTGTTTAGGAAAAGAATGCTCTACCCTCCTTTGGATACTAAAGTGTGCACCTCCCCTGAGTTATGTTTTGATTGAAGTTATGTTCCTGATGATCTCTTAACCCTCATGTATCCCCCATTGGCTACGTATGGCTTGAATTGATGTTGCTCCATTCTTTTTGGATGTGGGAAATCCCAGCAAATCTGGAAATGTCAGATTTTTCTTTTGATATGTACTGACTATAGACCACGGAAAAACAAGAGCTGTCTTTGAAAGTAGAGGCTCAAGAGATATAGGGTTGTCTTACTCCTATAACAATTAGAAGTCTTATTTTGTACTTCAATTAAGCAAGTCTCTTATTTATGGTTGGATTTATAATGGGGAGATGTTGACTCATGGCGATGTACCCAAATGTCATTGCAACAGTAGGTTCAGGGCTGGCCTTCAAAGTGGTATCCAAAGGATCCTGAATCCATGTCAAAGGCAACTAATTGTCTATTCTTTAACATTTTTTTTCAATCTAAGGAATTTCCTGCTTCAGACGTTAAAGGATACTCCAGCTTTTATCAATGGACTAAGAACAGCACCTGAGGACTATTTCCAAGGGTTTAACATTGATACGTCTTCCCTCCTTTTAGTCGATTACAGTATATCCTTCAGATCTGGAAGTAGATAGTTACTAGTTAACCTGATATTGCCAACCTGTTAAACATCAGCTGCATTCTTTCTTTGTGGCATAGCTTTTCTTAGCAAACATACCACTTCTCTTCCAGAAAGACGAGACCCTAAGTACACATGAACTATCTCTGGTGGATCAGACCAAGGATTGTTTGGTATAATGCCCATCAAATGTGCCTTAGAAAATCATATGCCAGAGGTGGGGGACTTTTGGATTACAACATCCAGTGTTAGGGAGCCAGCATAGTATAGTGGTTTGAGGGTTGAACTAGGACTCTAGGCAATCAAGGTTGAACCCTACTTGTAGTAGAAAGCTACTGGATGAGCCTGTCTCACATAATCAATGGCAAACCTCCCCTGTACTGTATAAATCTCACCAAGAAGACCCTATAGTAGGGTTATCATATGTTGGAGTTGACTTGAAGGCACATAATGACAACTCCTCCCAAGATTCGTCACCATTGGCTATGCTGGTTCAACAAAATCTAGAAGGCTTTATCCTACACCTCCCCGTAATGCACTGAGTATATAGCTGCTGTGATTCACACATGAGCTGCTGTCTGGGAAATCCCAGAATCTAAATTTCATAAGGGCAGATGAATTTGATAAGTTGTACTAGTCTCTCTGCCTCAGCTGCTTCTCTCTCACTTAATAGAAAACAATGACCTCTTAGTGGGTTGTTGTAGGTTTTTTTGGGCTATATGGCCATGTTCAGGGGGCATTCTCTCCTGACGTTTCACCTGCATCTATGGCAAGCATCCTCAGAAGTAGTGAGGTCTGACTACCTCACTACTTCTGAGGATGCTTGCCATAGATGCAGGTGAAACGTCAGGAGAGAATGCCTCTAGAACATGGCCATATAGCCTGAATAAACCTACAACAACCCAGTGATTCCGGCCATAAAAGCATTCGACAATACAATAACCTCTTACATATCATTGATTTATCTGAAAAATTCATGCCTGTAGAACGGATTGAATATCCTTTATCTGAAATGCTTGGGACCAGAAGAGTTCCGTATTTCAATTATTTTCAGATTTTGGAATACTTTGTATAAGTTTCCGGTCTCAATTCAATGAGCAGGTCGTCACCTATAAAGCCCTAAATGGTTCGGGCCCTGCCTATCTTAGTGACCGCATCCCCTCCATGAATCTGCATGAATCTGCTGGGGGGGTCCTCCTCTCGGACCTGCCACCATTACAAGCGTGGTTGATGGGGATGAGGGAGACAGCCTTCTTGGTGGTGCCCCTCCCCCCGGCTCTAAGACTCCCTCCCCAGATTAGGCAGGCCCTCACACTGTGCTCCTTCCGTAGGAATCTGAAGACTTGGATGTTTAAACAAGCTTTTGAAAACATTTAGTCCCTAGTGGTTTATGCAATAATGACACAGCACTGCACTTCTTCCCATGTCCTTGTTCCATGGCTACACATTAGCACTATTCCACTCTTTTGTCTTTTTGTTTACTGTCTAGCTATGATCTTTGTTAGCTTGTCGCCATAGGTTATTGTGCACTGTTTTTAATTGTTGTTCTATATGCCATATGTTTTTATTTTATTGTACTTGTATTTTGTAGTTCATTTTATGTTTTGTTTTATGCACTTTATTCCATTGATAAGCCGCCACAAGTCCCCTCGGGGAGATGGAGGTGGGGTACAAGAATAATAATAATAATAATAATTATTATTATTTTACTGACACAAAAACACAGTATGTCACAGGAAACGAGATCTATATGCTGGATTTTATATCATAAAATCACAATTATTATTATTATTACAATTATTACAAAATTATTACAAAATCACAATTATTATTATTATTAACAATTATTATTATTATTATTATTATTATTATTACACAATGAGAGATTTTGAAGATGTGATCTAAGTCAAAGCATAAAATCCATGTATGTTTCATACAAACCTTATTCACATGAAGGTAATTTTATACATAATATTTTATTTTATTTTATTTTTAAAAGATTTTATTTACATACAATAACAACTTAGAGTGTAAACAAAACACAAAACAGTGGGGCTATGTGTTTGTATACATAATATTTTAAATAATTTTGTACATGAAAGGAGGTTTGTGTACACAGAACCACCAGAAAGCAAAAGTATCAGTCACACATGTACACAGTTTTGGTTTTTAGAACTCCAAATAAAGGAATGCTCAACCTTTACACATTTCCACAAGCATGTGGACAATTTCAACAGAAAGGAAGAGACCATGAAAATGAACAAAATCTGGCTACCAGTATTAAAAAACTCTAAAATTACAACAGCAAAACAGCAGAGAGGAAACAACCAGGCACATCTTAACACCTCTCAACAAAAGATTTTCCCAGGCTCAGCCAGGCCTTCAAATGCTAATGAAGGGGTCAGTTGAAACATTCACACCTAGCTCCAGCAGAGAAGAGCTCTTTGCCCCACCCCAGCCATTCCACAGATATATAAACCCATTGTCCTAATTCCAACAGACCTCACTACCTCTGAGGATGCTTGCCATAGATGTAGGCGAAACG